CTTTTGTTCTTCATATTGATCCCTCTAAGATGAATGCTGTGAATTTAAGGATCAGAACCAGGTTTGGTTTGGTTTTCAAATAGTTGCTTAGCTGGGGTCTGCTGTGTGCTGTTGTATGGCCCCAGGAAACAACCTGGTTAGTGAAAGCTAATTGGAGTGCAAATTTATTTGTATTGGTGTTAAAATGTAAAATTGATAGTAGAGAATAAACAAGGCCACCAAACTACCAAATCTTGTGTATCTTAGGAAAGAAAACAAATTATCAAATCTTGTGTAGCTTACAAAATGAAAAAGGCACAATTCCTGGTTCTTAAAAATATCTGTTTTGAAAATGATGCAGAGAGAAAATTGTCAGGTATCATTCCTGTTTCATTTTTATATCTAATGCTTTTGAAAGTGGAAGAGAAGAACAAACATTTAGAAAGGTCAAGGAGAATCACTTTCCTTTTCTCATCACCTTTACAACTAGGGACATTAATTCTGAGAACTCATAGAAGTTTTGGCTTTCAAAAATGAAATAACATTTATTTAATTCAGACACTTTTACCTTTACTTTTGTCATATTCAAATGACATTAAACTTGCATTTTAAGTGACTGTTTGTTATATGTGTAATAAAACACATAAGAMAAAGGGACCAAAATGGTAATTTTATTCTACAAGGAAGATAAAGTAACAAATTAAGTTATTTAATAAAAAAGTTACTGCAACTTGAAATTTTTAAGACTTTTCTTTTTAGCTTTTCTTTTTAGAAAGACTATTACTACAAAGAATTCTAGAAAATATTATTAGCTACATATTTGTCACTTCAGTGCAAACCATGTGCCCTTGCCTAATTACTTATATATATATAAAAGATTCTGTAGTAGAAAGCTTGAGAACAAGATGCAATTGTGTGATTTAGTTTCATATTTCTATAACCAAAAATACATCTAAGCTCAGCATTCTGTAATGCAGCTTTGTGATGAAAATGTCTAAACTGTTCTTTTAAATAGCAAATTATAAATACCAATTATGACTGAGAAGACTAACTTATTAAGTATATCTGATTAATTGCACTGCCTCAGATATGCTTTATGCTATTATCAGTATGACCAAAACCTACCTTTGCCACTAATGTATGAAAATGATTAAACTACTAATTGTTGCAGTTACCTTTTATGGAAGAAACTGTAAGTGAAATATTCTACAATTAGCATCATCTTCTGTGCCAGGACGCCTGCTGGGGCAAGATCATCTCCCATCTGTTGGATTCTTGGTCAAGATTTTGGTTCTTACAAAGTACAATGTAAAAGGGTACCTATGGAAGTAGATGAATTGTGATATATTTTGTGAAAAATAATGTTATTGTTTCTGACCAATTTTTTTGTAATACCTTCTCACCCAGAAGCATCTAAGTTCAGTGGAACTTGCACACCCTTTTCCTTTTCATCTAGCTCTCTTCCTTTCTATACGCAATTAATTCCATACCTATATATTATGTATTTGATCTAGATGTACATATTCATTTGACTGAATTGAAACTCTGAAGCACCCTAACACATGATATCCATAAATTATTCAAAATTCCAACCATGAATTTTAATTTGATTCTGAACAACATCCTAATCTAAAGAGATGTTAAGTAACCTTTGCAATATATGTTGATGTATAAATAGTGGCATTAATGCCTCTGAACCTCTTGGTAAGTGTTTCATGGTATCACACGCTCTCCATCGCTCCCGGCCCTGAAGGGCATTGTTAGCCCCATAGTTTTTGTTTTGTATTCTCCAAGGTTGATTCCATGAAGAGCTGCTCTGCAGCGTGACATGTTCTGCATTCATTTTGCACCCATGAATTATGGGATTGTGTGTGAAGAGTTGAAGAACCTATTTGTGCCATGCAATGACTTGGGCTAGAAAGGGCCTCTGGATGTTGTCCAGTCCAAACACACTCAGTGTTTGGACTAAACACTAAAACTTCAGTGTTTCATTAGGTTCCTCAGTAAGTTTTTTAATAAGCCCAAGTATTCAACAGCTCTGGGTAACTTCTTGCAGTATTGGACCACTGTGTTTGTGAATGTTAAAAGATACAAAACAAACRAAAACGTGGGTTAGAGATACTGTGATAAAAGACGTCATAGTTGTCCTATAGCTTCAGCTGTGAGTCAGCAATGTGAGAATGACAGCTCATTCTCATGAATGATCATGTTACATGGCAACATGTTATTTAACTAAATCTGCCTCTGTTTTTATGAACTGACTTTTGGTATTAAGTACTACTTCTTTATATTTGTATTTGAGTAGTCAGTAAAGAGTAATAGCACTTACCAGATACCTTGCAGCACAGTACTGCATAGGCAGACAAGTAGAAATATCTTCCCTTTTAGTTATGAATATGAAATGCTCTCCTTCGATTTGAAACTCAAATGGAGAAAACTGTTTTGTGAAATGTTGTGAGCTGAAAGAGAGTATTCAGGATCTGTAATACGGTTTAGTGCAAAAGGAGTAAATAAACTGCAGAAACCAGTCAGGGCTGGAGGAAGAGATAATTTGGAAGTTTTATATTTTGGATGTTTCCTACCGTAATTGTTAACTATGATAAGTAGAGGCAGCTTTTACAGCACTGCAGTATACCTGACAGGAAGTGTGCAACAAACTGTTTCAATTGCTAATGCACTGATATTAACGGTGCAATCCGGGACAATTGTTCTATCAATAATTACTGAGACATGGTAAAAAGTAGTGCCCATTGCTTGATGTAGCCAGCCAAATGGAGGCCCAATAATTGTCTCCTGCATCAAACTATAAAATATAATGACTTTTGAAGGTTGAAGTTTATGAGAGCAGTTTATTATGTGTTCCAAACAATGTTTTATTTTGATATTGTTTCTTCATTAGGAGGATAGGAAGCACTGTAGCTGAAATTGGGCTCAAGGGAACCAGCGTCTACCAGTTGTTTAACCTTGTGACATTCCACTAAAAAGCACTACTTCTTCTGAAATACATAATACATGAACTTCTCTGATTGTTTAGCATTGATCAGTACTCTAGTAAATTGAGTTAGTATCTTATTAACATAAACAGCAATGCTTTAGTGATCCTCTTCACCCTCCAATGGTATATGAGGTGGCTCAGGGATTTCTGCTTCTTAAAATCTGCAAGTCAATTTAGAAAGCCGCGCAGTAAGAAGGCGCTTTAACAAAGAAAAGTATTTTGAAGCAGCATCCTTCTGATTGCAGATGCATCCACTTTAACCTCAGTATTTAGCTTCCAGTATAGATTATTTCTCAGACTTCTTGTCCTCTGCTGTCAGACCTGGCTGCCGTCATATTTCTTCTCTCTCCGTGTAACTGTGCCAAACCATCTAGCCTTTCCTTTTTCTATAGCTTTAGAAAGTTTTAGAAGCCTGTTATAAATTTTTTTTTTTTTTGTAAAACATGTGCGTGCACATGTAATTTCTTTAAACAATTTGACACAGAAGACGTTTTCCATTTGCCATGTTGATTTTTCACCTCTCTTTCACTTCTCAAGATGCAGAAAAGCAAACTGTCTAAAATGTGCCAAAYGTTTCAAATATAAAGTAGAATCACCGAGTCTACTTTTATCATCAGTTCTACATAATGATAATTGTCAGAGTTTATTTTTAACTCTCAGCAAAAGGTCAAAATGAAATATTATGTAGAATCAGGGGATCATGCATGATTAAGGCTCACTATGTATTAAGAGCATTTCAAATCTGAAGAGAGGCATTTCTGTCTAAAGTAAAGTTTGATGTTGTGAGAGCTTTGATTTCATAATGTTGTCCAGCCTATCAAAGATAGTTTCCCTAAAAGAAGGAGAGAAAACTTCAAAAAGCCCTTTTCAAGACTGAATTCCTAGAGACTTAATGGTTCAGCATCTCTGACAGTTCTGAAGCCCTCCGTACTTGTCAGAGGAGGCCTCAGCTGTTACAGGTGATGTTTTGATCCCTGGAGTCCCCATGCATTGGAAGCATCGGGATATGCCAGGCCTAACCCCAAGTTTGAGTCTGCCCCTTTGTGCTCAAGCAAATTTTTGAGAAACTTACCTAGATTAATATTTCAGAGCTAAGTGGGACTGTGGTGTATATATATATATGTAAACTACTCTTTGCTCAAAATGCAAATTTAATCTTTTGCATGACAAAAGTATTGCCAGAATCCAAAAGACAATAAATGTACATACTTATCTGACAGAAGACGTTACGTGGTATCAGATCAGAGAGTTTAGTCTCTTAATCTTTGTTTACTTACCACTAATCCTATTCTCAGTCAGCTGCTAACTATCATTTATTGTTAAGTATGTTTCATTTTTSTGTTCATATACAGACACTCCAGAAGTGGGATAACCCGCAGTGAGATACTGATTTCTGGATGCACAAGGCCACCTTCATGGTTCTGTGAGATGAGCTGGTATCTGTAATTCTTTTTTGGGGGTCACTGAAGTTAATGTTCCTTCAGAGTAAGAGTAAATCCAAGCTGTCATCTTAGCCAACAGTAAAGCATATGACCTTGAGAAAAAAGGGAAGTCTGTGTCCTAGATCTTGCAGTCTAGTCCTCAGAGGAAATAGGCAAATCCCCCTCTGGGACTTCACATTGATCCAGAGGAGCCGAATCAAGAGGGCCATTAGTCTTCACTATTCTTATTGTAGAGCATAAATCCTAAACTGCTTATCTGGATGCAGAATAATAATAATAAAAAAGTGAATCTAGGGCCTAAGGCTTCTTGTGAATCTTCCTTTCCTTGCTAAGCCTGAACATACTGTTGTACTATTTCTGGATCACCCAGTGATATCTATAGACATTCTAGAAGATGTTGTAGGTGGGTGAGCTGCCAGCAGGCATTTTTGGCATTCATTCCTCTGAGCACATGAAGCTAATTGAGGAATTAGCTGGGAGCTGGTTGCTCATGGCCTTCAGCTGTGCGGAAGCTTCCTGGTACAAGATGGCCCAGGAGAGAGGTYTCCTAGGGGTGAAGTCCCAGTTGTGAGGGAAGGTTTGTTTCTTGTGGATGGTAGATGCAGGTGCTGGTAGACATGAAGAGCTGGGGAGGTAAGGATGCTCTTAACTGTGTGTCTGTAACTGTGCTGATTACTGTGCTGTGGCACTGAGCTGTGTGTGCTTTTGAGGGACTTTCCACAGTGGGCTGATCTGCAGGGTTTCACCCTCTTGGTGATCCTGAGATGTGCTTGTGTGTGTAGCAGCAAAGGCAGTCTGAGCTTTGCTGAAGTGGTCCAACTGGCTTGGTATACCAAAGACTGAAAGCATGTGTGCATGAACACTTCTGTAATTAATGTGTGCACAGATAATGATTCTTGTTGGTCCAGAGGTTGAGGAGTTAAGTTTCCCTTCTAACAGATAAAACTGCCAGAACTTTTTTAAATCTTCCTTTCCAAGATGAAATAGCAGCTCTATTTCTATGTAATATCTTATTTCTCTAGGATGCAATCCCTAACTTGTCTGTCTAGCATCAAACTCTTCACTCTGTTTCTAGGCTAGTTCCCAATTGCATGTTCTGATTTTTCACTTTTTCTGTTTTAAACTAGCACCTCTATTTCTAACTATTCATCTTCATGTATTTTAATATCATGTAGCTCCTACTTCTCTCTAACATTTATTGCTCTGACTATCCTAGTGCATATTATGACACAGGATAATAGCACCAGTTTCTATAATTCAACCATTTTGATTTGAGGTGAAAGGTTAAATTACTGCTTCTATTGTTTGTTTTCAAACCTATGGAAACATTTCAACTCTGCAAATATGATCTGTTTAGTTTTAGTTTTTTTTTTTTTTTTTTTGGTTATTCCATTTGTATTTCTTCTGTGAAGAAAATTAAGAGCGGTTTCACTGCAATAGATGTCATTTAGCTCTTGCTTTTTGGCCACCTATTCTTTTCCAGAACTTAATTGATCATGGGTCGACTTGTTAACAACACAGATGGGATATCTCACTATGATAATTAATTATCTGAACACTTTTCTTACAAAAATATCTTTAACAAACCAAAAGTGTGTTTTAAGGGCAAACAGGGGTAGTAGGCCTGAGGGTAAACAGGAGTTAAAAATGCAGGTTAGGAGATAAAATAATAACAATCTCATAGACTGTTGAAAGTTTTAGAGGTTACAAAGGAATGCCCTTAATTTGCTTTACACTTCCCCAAAACTTTTTCAATATTTTTGTGAAAGAGTGAAAGGACGTAGAATTATTGGGAGTTACGCAATTGGAAGGAGAACATGGTCCTTGTTTAGGACATCTTCTGCAGCATTTGAGAGCTTTTGCTATTCCCCACTTCATAGCAAGGTCATTTCTGTAAATATCATCCAGATGTCTGTCCTCAGGGTCTGTCTAAATATGGTTTTTGCTGTGAACAGGGGCCCACCCTTGTGCCTTCCCCTCCCTCTTTATTCTCTCTTGTTCTCCTCCCACTGCTTTGCAGTGTAGGCCCACTCCAAAGTACTGCTCTTTTTTTTTTTTTCTTGTTTTAATTATATTGGAATTGATTTTAGGTAGCCATAGCTTTTGTCTTAAGCAGTATTTTGATATGCAGAAGGCACACACAGTCACCCTGTAAGTGAATTTTTGCCATATATTCCACTAAACAAGAGTAGGGTGAGGGAGAAGAGTGATTTAGGGATCTTGCAAACCCACCTGGGTTGACCCTGCGCCCCGAGCTCTGGGTGTCCCTGATTGAGCAGAGGAGTCGGACTAGATGATCTCTAGAGGTGCCTGTCAACCTCAACCATTTTGTGATTGTGAGAAGTGCAAAATTTCAGTTTCCCAGTTAGTTTATATGTTTATGCAATTATTTACTTGAGGTTTTTATTCAGTAAACTGAAGGATAGTCACGGGGTAACAGCTGTAATACCTTGCATTTCCTTCTAAAGAGATTCACCACAGGAATTTTACATTATATTTGAAAGCACAGATATGTGGACAGAATGAAGAGCAACAAAATGCAGGTGATAGTTTTACTGCATACAGCTGTTTCTTAGCAGGCTATGAAACACCCTAACGTATGAATCTACTTCAAAATGGTAAGCATTCAGCAAGAGGAAATTTCCAACTTCTTTGTGCCCATGTAAATCCTAGGGGATTTACAGTTGAATTCTGACAGATTCTGACAGACTTSCTCGTGTCTGCAGAGGAAATCATCAGCAACATTAACATAGCAAGAGTTATCAGAGCACCTGACAATTTTGCAATCTGTATTTGACTTTTAATGGAAAAAGCTGGTGAGTATTGCTTGATTAGGAGCCTCAGAAGAGCTTGTTGAAGGATTGTATTTTTGTCATTTGTTTATTTGAAATAATTCAGGTAACTAAGGAAAACCTTATCAGAAAGGTAGTATCTTATGAAAGATTTTAAGTACTTTGAAAGTGTAAATGTTATGAATTATCTATCAAAAGATATCAGAGCCAAATTATTCTTGCATTTGAAATGTATTCCAAAACTGCATCTGATTTAAAATAAGATTTTAGAAGTTGTTCATTAGACTAATTTCAAGTCCAATTACCTTTTGTAAAGATGGATTGAAACTCTTCTCTAAATGGATGCATTTTCTATTCATCATTTAGAGTTTAGTTTAAAATMTTAAACTAAACCAAGAGCATATGCTTTTAACAGACTGAAATCAGAATGTGTTTTATTCACTTTATGTGCAAGGAATTGTTTCTGACTCTTTTTCCCCTCCCTTGACTARAATACAAGGCCTAAGTGTCCCAATATTTTTAATAGTAGGCATCGTTAATATTTTTATCTTCACTTCAAAAAGRATTTGGTCAAGGTATTTATCATGGAATTCATCCTTTTTCTGCACCTCACATAATCTGTTGTGACTTTTTAACTGTCAGAGGCAGTTAATAATAACTTGAAGGTCTCTTTGTGTGCACGAATGTAAGTCACTGGGACCTTTAGCTCAGCAGCTACATGACTGCATCCAAGCAAATATTTTCCAATTGTCCAAATGGATACTCCAAGAAGTCACTGATCACTTTTTAAGTGTGGTTCTAAGTCTACCRAGATTTAAAAAGAATCAGGAGGACAATTTAGTGTCTGGACAGAACCTGATGCGTTTCAATCTTGGATGTTGTCCAAGATGCCACGACATGTAGAGTAGTCAGGGGCTGAGATCTCAAACATTAAGCCCCTGTTTATGACTGACMTAAAGTTGCTTCTTAATCTGTACTGAGGGGGCTGCAATCAAAGAGCCCACATCAGGTAACTGCATGGAAGCAGCCACTTGCCCTTTGGCAGATGTGGAGGCCAATTGCCTGACTCGCAGCATAATTCCTGGCATTAATATTTAAAACAAGCATGGCTTATCATGGTATACCAAGGGATCTAAGTGACCTGGCACTGACCAGGTTTATATTTCTTTATAAAAGCAAGAAACAGAAAAGAAATTATAACTTAGTTCTTCCTTCCAGGACAGCTACCAGTCTATTAGGCTGAAGCATTCAGGCATTTTGGTTAAAAAATTTAAATAATCAGACTAAATCAGAATCACGCATCTTAAAAAGGAATCCAATCAAGTATTCTCATTATGGCCATACAGATATACATCTGTATGCATCTCTACATCAGCTATATACCTCTAGATATACAATCACAACCGAGAGGAACACAGACTYTAACAACCCTTAGAGAGAAATACAGAAGTTTGAAGCCTAATTAACAGYAACGTGAGCAGAAATTTGATTGAAGAGAGCTGTTAAGGCCAAGTTGTTCATACTAAGGAAGAGAGTGCATGCTAGAGAAATACTTGCCTATTTACCTTTATTACAGGGGTTGTAAGTGCAGTTTCTCACCAGCAGGAGGGCAATACGTGTATATTTTTTAAATTGAAATTAATGGCAGGAGGCCCTTTAAATACGTACTAATGTTGAGAGTAAGAGTATTCCATGCTATTTTTTATACAAAACGAATTAATATTTCTTACCAAATTCAAAATATTCAGGATGGATCCGTATTTCTTCTGTTTGCCCTGTACCTCCACCTAGTTTTGTACTGCAGTTCTTCTTGCAGAGAAGGGGGGTGGAGGGGGAAATACCCCACTACATTTTTTTAAATATGGCTTTAATACAATTTTTATGTCATGTCTGCCTACTGAAGTACTATGGTTTTTAGCTTTTTTTGACTAAAGAGAGTGTTTTCAAGCTTCAATTTACTTTAATTTGCACCTGCAATATTTTATTACAGATATTCTGCACAGATTTGGGGAATGTGATACCACAGTTCTGAGTACAAACAATTTAACAAACAATCTGAGCTGGTTTTGAACCACTTAGTATTTAATTTTCTTCTAATCTTCTCTCTGATATTTTCTTTCAGTCAACACTCTCTGTAGCACATGAGGATGTTTTTCATAGAGGAATGCCAATAAAAAATGAAACCCTCAATCCTATATTCATATTTGAAGTCCATCTATATCTGGCAGTTTGAAAAACAACYATCTTTGCAGAAGAGTAGAAGTGTTACTTGCTCTCTGATAAATTTGTCATCAAAGACATAAAAATTAAATTCAAGTGTCTCTTCCAAAGATTTTACTCTTCCCTTTTTGGATTATATTCATTTGTAGTTTGCACCGAGCTCCTGCAAATGAACACGTTCAGTGTTTTACTCTTCTCAGACTTCAACGGCACTGCATTTTCAGTGGATGGGTTTTCATCRGTTTCCTCCATTTTTCTTCCCTTTCCCTTTCTTAAGCAGATGCAGAATTGTTGCATATGCCCCACCACGTTGCCATATCTTTTTAGAAGGAGAATCTTCCTCATTAGTTGCTTGGCTCAACATTCATATAATGAAAGAATATTTTAACTTGAGTGAGCATTTATTATGTTCTTAGCAGAAAAAGAAACACTTATTTTGCTGCATTTTTGACAAGGACAGTTAGTTCTGGACAGAAACTTAATAGAGCTGGCCTGAATTCCTGGCTCTGCTGCAGACCTTCCTTCAGAAGCATAAACAAATCATGGAATTTTTTCTTTGCCTCAAGATTTTATTCTGTTAATGGGGGTATTAATATGTTCCATGTCTTGTACTGTTTTAAT